ATGCCCAGGTGGCCATGCCCCCATAACGGCGGTAATAGGCGCAGCTGTCGCAGTGCAGGGTCCTGTAATGAGGCTTTAGGTGCAAGCCCAGACCCCTCCCCGGATTTCTGGCAGCATCCTGGACATTTCCGCCTGCAGCGGTCACCCTTAAAGAGTCCTTGATATCGCCCTGAAAGCCTGTTCCTCCCCCCAGACTTTCTTGCTGTCATAAAGGGCACCATCATCCACCCAGCTGCTCAACCAGAAACTGAAGTTGCGTTTAATTCCTCCTCCACTTCCAATCTAGTTCTAAATCTCAGCCTTTTCAATTCCTAAATATCTCATGGAGATGCACTCTCTCTGTGGTCCGCCACCGTCTCTTGTGGGTCACTGCAGCAGCCAGTCCCCACTGGCCTCCCTGGCTCTGCTCAGCCTTGTGCCAGTGCAGTGCATTCTCCACAAAGCAGCCAGAGTGATTTTTGTTTTGTTTTTTGTTTTTTTGCTGCTTTGGCCAAGGTTTTATTTATTTATTTATTTATTTATTTATTTATTTATTTATTTATTTATTTATTTATTTTTGCGGTACGCGGGCCTCTCACTGTTGTGGCCTCTCCCGTTGCGGAGCACATGCTCCGGACGCACAGGCTCAGCGGCCATGGCTCATGGGCCCAGCCGCTCCGCGGCATGTGGGATCTTCCCGGATCGGGGCATGAACCCGCCTCCCCTGCATCGGCAGGCGGACTCTCAACCACTGCGCCACCAGGGAAGCCCTAAGGTTTTATTTTTTTAAATTTTTATTAGACTGTAGTTGATTTACAATACTGTGTTCCTACTGTACAACAAAGTGAATCAGTTATACATACATCTACTCCTTTTTAGATTCTTTTCCCGTACAGGTCATTAACAGAGTATTGAGTAGAGTTCCTTGTGCTATACAGTAGGTCCTTATTAGTTACCTATTTTATATATAGTAGTGTGTATATGTCAATCCCAATCTCTAGAGTGATATTTTGAAGTTTGTCAGATCAGGTCACTCCTCTGCTCAGAACCCTTCAGTGGCTCCCCATTGCCATTGGAACAAAATCCAGTTCCTTGCGAAGGCCTCCAAAGGCCCCCAAGGTTCTGGTTAACTTTGTCCCACCCCACTCTTCCCCCTTGATCTTTCTATCTTGCAGTTCCTCTGGCTTTTGCTCATTCGTTGTATTCATCATGATTCTTCTCATTCTCTCCGGGACCTGGGTACCTACTATTTTCTGCCTAGAATAATGTTCCCTTTTTTGTCTAGTTAACTCAGTTATGATTTCCCCTGAATGGCCTTTACATGCATTGACCCATTTAATCTCCAGGACAAGGCTGTGTGGGCGGACACTGTGTTTATGTGCCTGACTCCACCTCTCTCTCCTCCCCCTCTGTACTCTCTAGCCCCACTGGCCTTCTTTTTTTTGTCCCTTGAACATGCAAAGTTCAGTCCTGTCCCTGGGCCTTTGCACATGCTGTTCTTTCTACTTGAAATGACTTTACTCTGAACCTCACAAAGCCACCTCCCTCTCATTGCACAGGTCCCAGCTCAAATGTCACCTCTGATGACTCCCCTCCTCCCACATGACATCCCCCTATTTTATTTTATTTTATTTTTATTTTTATTTTTTTGGCTGTGCCATGAGGCTTGGGGGATCTTGGTTCCTGACCAGGGATCGAACCCGGGCCCTCAACAATGAAAGCACTGAGTCCTAACCACTGGATCACCAGGGAGTTCCCAACATCCCCCTATTTTAGCTTGTGCATTATACGTGTTCAGACCTAATGTAAACTTATTTTTAAATTTGGTTTTGTGTCTTCCCCACTTAAAAGGTAAGCTCCTTTATATTCTTATTCACCGATGTGTTCCCCTTCACTGATTCATTCAATCAGCAAATATTTTCTGAGCGTTTACTATGTGCCAGGCATTTTCAAGGCACTGTAGACACAGCAATGAAGAAATCGGAACAGACAAAAATCTGCACCCTCAAGATAGGTGGAGGGGATTAAGAGATACAAACTATTATGTATAAAATAAATACGCTACAAGGATATAATGTACGGCACAAGGAATATAGCCAATATTTTATAATAACTTTAAATGGAGTGTAATCTATAAATTATTGAATCTGTTGTATGCCTGAAACTTATATAATATTGTACATCAGCTGTACTTTAATTAAAAAAAAAATCTGGGGCTTCCCTGGTGGCGCAGTGCTTGAGAGTCCGCCTGCCGATGCAGGAGACGCGGGTTCGTGCCCCGTTTCAGGAGGATCCCACATGCCGCGGAGCGGCTGGGCCCGTGAGCCATGGCCGCTGAGCCTGCGCGTCCGGAGCCTGTGCTCCGCAAATGGGAGAGGCCACGACAGTGAGAGGCCCGCATAACGCAGGAAAGGAAAAAAAAAAAAAAAAAAAAAAAATCTGCACCCTCATGGAGTTTAGATTCTCATCGATGGTCAAAAAATGAACAAGAAAATTATGTAAAAATGTGCACCAAGGCATATGATAATATATGTGATGGAGAAAATAAAGCAGGGAAACAGATAGGGGATGTTAGGGGGAGGAGGGTAGCAATAGGATCTTTGGAGAAGGCCCCACCCAAGAAGGTGCCCCTAGAATAAAGACTTGAAGGGGATGAGGTATGAGCCATGTGGATATATGTGTTAAGAGCGCTCCAGGCAAAAGAAACAGCAGGAGCAAAAGCCCTGAGGCAGGGGTGTGCCTGGTGTGTGGAAGAATAGCCAGGAGTTCAATCCACTGGGAGCAGGGCTTTAGGAAATGAGTATGCAGTGAGGTCAGAGAGAACACAGGGGACCAGTTCATGCAGGACCTTGGCCACCCTAAGCTCTTGATTTTCCTCCACATGAGATCATGGTGGTTTTTGAGCCAAGGAATGTCATGATTTGATTTGATTTACACAGCTCCTGCATGGATAACAGACTGTAGGGGGCAAGGGTGGAAGCAGAGGTCACTGTTAGGTGGTAATCCAGGCATGAGGTAGCAACTTTAATCCAGGGAAGAGATGCAGCTCGGGGACAAAGCAGTGACAGTGAAGGTGAGGAGCGGTGGTCCTAGATCTGTCATGTAGATAGAACCAGTGGGATCTGCTGAAGGATCAGCATGTTGGGTATGAAAGAAAAGACAAGGGTCAGGATCAATGGTCAGGACAGCAGCAATGTCCAGTAGAACTCTCTGCCCTGATGGAAACGTTCTAGACCTGCCCTGTCCAGTATGGCAGACACCAGCCACATGTGGCCATGAAGCACCAGAATTGTGGCCGGTGCAACTGAGGAACTGAATTTCTAATCTTTAATAGTTTTCATAATTTAAGTCGTCCCACCTCTGTGACAACAGAAGTCATAGAGGCATGTGTCTGGGTATCCTTAACTAGGGATCACAGTCTCTTTGCTTAATTGACTAGGAGCTCCTGGAAGGCAAATTCTGCCTCTTAATTGCTTCTGTATTTGCAAACCTGGCAAAGTGTGTGCAATTCAATAGGAAATTGATAATGTTTTTGTGGCCGGTTGAATCAAAGAATGAATGAAATGAGATGATAGTGTCGGGTACATAGTAGGTGCTCTGTAAGTATCTGAATGAAGAGTTGAGAAATTCCACCCTCAAAACAACCCCGATCCATGGGACTCCTATCACTATGTTCCAAAGAGGGAGTCCAGGCTCCGAGGAAGGAGGGTATCCTGTCTAGTTTCAAACAGCTGGCACCCCAGACGGAGCCACGAGTTCCCAGTTCTCAACCATTCAGCCCCCTTAATTCTCAAAAAAAAAAAAAAAAAAAAAAAAAAAAAAAAGGAA